AGCCGTACTTTGGTGGGGGCCACAGCCGGCTTTGGGACCAGGTTCTTGTAGACGCTGGAGCCTGTGATGGGAGTTTTGCTGCCGTTGGTGGGCAGGGCGCCAGCGGTGGCAAACCCCGCAGAGAAGGCGGTGCTGGGGTCCTCCTTGGAAACCTTCTTGATAACCAGCATCTTGGACACCATCTGTTTGCCACTAGGGGGATTTTCTGGAACAAAATCAGTAAGGAAATGTTGGAGGTCATGATGAGGAGCAGAACAAAGCTTTATTGAACAACAATGTGTATGTTCAAGAGTTTAGATCCAGTCTGAATACTTACCCCACACTCCAGCATGGGGAGCGACTGGTCGCATCTGAGTCCCAGGCTTTCCAGTTGTTTCAGGGTTGAGGGAAGGCTGAAAAGACAAACATGCATGAAATATCTCAGCGTGCAATGTTTTACTTTCAAGTTAGGTTTACATGTAAGATCAGGAGATGTTGGTGTTGATACGATTGAACCTTGTTGATGCTTAACACTCTCAGATCATCTTTGAAATCTCAAGATAAATACGAAGAGGTGACGGATAAAATTGAGAATGTAGAGTGAAAATGTTTCTGGTGCAACATTCTCCACCATTCTTCTAAAAATAGAGTCCCTTTCATAGTTGACTGTGCCTTTGTTGAACAGTTAAAACTTGCCACTAACTGACAGTGTTTTATCTCTAAAGAGAGCTCCGTCAGTGGAGAACTATGACAAGGTCAGTGGTGCTCTTTGGAGAAAAACAACAGCGTTATCTACTCACAAAGTCCTCCTCCACAAACTTCAGCTTGTCGTCCTTGCTGTCTTTGCGTTCCTCGTTAGGAAACTTGTCCTGGTACGAGGTGCCCTTGCGGGGATGGAAGTTGCCGTTGCGCTGCCGGTGCCCCCCCTGCCTGTCCCTGTCGCCTCCTCCCCGTTTGGGGTGGCGTCCCTGGTGGTGGTGGCTGTCCTGGGCACCCCGCGGAGCTCCATGCCAGCTGGGTGTTTCCTTCCAACACGAGCCCCCGGCCAGCCCACCATGCCCTCCTTTGGCCACCCCCGAGTCCACTGAGTCATGCCTCAGAAGCAGAGAGGGCTGCTGCCATCCATCACCTCCAGAAATAACAAACATACAGTATACGTAAATATAACGTAATTATACTGTAACAGGAGCCAAATACCAATGAAATGTGGCTTCGGCGGCAAAGGTTGCCTCTGAACCTTCGTCTGAACGTCGTAAATCTTTGTCAGTATTTCGCAGTGACATCAGTAATCCCCGATGACTCATGCGGTGCACATACTTTAAAGTTTTGGTACAACCAGTTATATTTTGGAGCTTGAGGAGCTGGTGTTCCCGTCTAGAAATGCTTTGATGGTTGTGATTTAGCTCATTTAATCCGAGAACTGAAGAATTCTTGCGGATGAATTGGCATTGTTTTATTTTAACTACCATATTATTACACAGACACACTGCTGCACATCTGGCAAGGCGAGCATGAAGCTGCTTCAGCAACTCAGAGGAGGCCTTCAGTAACTAGGGAACAGAGGGACAACAAAGAAGACACCATTTATACCTTCTTCTTGGTAAAACAGCCATTGCACATGATTAACAACTTAAGATGAAACAACTGAAAAGCAAGACTCCACTGAAACTCCAGCAACTCTATGAATCCTGAGCAACGACTTCACAAGGAGGTAAACCAACAATTTAAAAATGCCATCACACCACACTTATTCTTAGTTCACACAAACAGCAGCGTAGCTAAACGTCGGCAGAGAGACGCTGTGAGCGCAGCGTACGAGAACTGAGCTGCAGATGAGTGAAACCAAATAATATTATGGAGACAACGACCAGATGTGTAGAGGAGGCGATATGTGACATGAAGACACCACCGCCTCCGACTATGTCCTCGGAGCACATGTCCTCGATTACGTCCTGTTTTCATTCTCGGTCTTACACAATGAAAGTCCAGCAGATGCAAAAAGTCACTTAACTTTCTTTCCAATCCAAAGTGCTTCAGCAGAAGACGACCGGGCATTTTGTTCAGTTCAGTTCTGAACTGAGGAAACCTCTCAGATGGGAGGTGAAACGTTTTCAAGAACCAAAAAGGGAACTTCAGGTGCTTCCTGCTGTAGAACTTAGGATACTATGACCTGACTAGACTGACTTTATTCCAGCACAGATGATACGTGGACCAGTTCTGACTCTGCTCTTTGGTATAATGAACAGCAACTGTAGATTTATGTGCAAAAACTCCCATTAGCAAGGTTAGCATCACTGTGGCCCCCATGGGACGAAATCACCGCAACAAATAAGAGATCAGTGAACGCTCTGACATCACAAGCCAGAAACTCCACGTCCTTCCGTCAACACTGCAAATGGTGCTTCTGAATACCTTCATCCTGCACACAGCTCTACTTTCAGTGACCTAAACTGTGTGTGGACGAAAAGCTGAAACACACAGACAAAGCTAAGTTTTAAATGACACCTGTGTGTCTGTGTGGACAGATCCTGATATGTCTAATCACACCTCTTCTCCAGACATCTCCCTCCTCTCTCATCAGGATGGGGAAACTTGCACTCTTTTCATTTTTATTAATCCACGACCTTACACAAGTCGCAGCTTCGTTTAACTCTCACCAGACTGGAAGTCTCACTGCGACTAAAAACAACCTGCCGGTGTTCATCAACATCTTCTTATTTTACACTCCTCTGCGCGACACGAGAGTGCAAGACGAGTCAGTTCCTGAGTTCATGGCGGTTTCTTTCGTTTTGCTTGTACTCTCGCGGTTACTTCCCTTCACATGGTTAAGCGCTGTAAAAACCACAAAGAGGGTAGCTGGTGTGGACGGTTACCTGCTGGAGCACGCAGGGAGCCGTTGTTGAAGAAACCATCGGAGGAGTTGTGGCGGCGGCGGCTCACAGCGGTTCTGCCGTCTCTGTGGTGGTGGGGCTCACCTTGTTTGTCAAGGTTGGCAGCAGGGGACTGGAAGAGGGAAAGAACGGGGACAATGTTGGACTCAGTGGGGACTTACTGGTGATAAACATTTATTTCAGGACAAATAAGCAAAACAAAAACTCCACAACATTTTTTTCAGGACATTCTTTCCGTCTCGACTTTATTTCTGTCTTCGTGTAGAAACTTAGATTAGCATAAACCCCGTCCTGACTTGAGTTTCTCTTCCTCTCCATCATAGAACCTAAATAACCCTGCGTGAAAATGTCACTGTCGGAATCTATTCTTAGCGGAGGAAAGTGAAGAAAAACCAAAGACATCACAGCCGCAATCTTGGAATGCTTCATCATAAGAAATGTGCTGCTGTGGAAGCCAATAAGATCAGACACACACTGTGCATAATTCTCAGCGGTAAATCCTGAAGTTGCTGCACTAACACGGCTGTGTGTGTGTGTGTGTTTGATAATGTGCCCACCGCAAGCGCTCGGCTCCATCTGAATCATATCTCAGTCATCAGATGAGGTACAGGGATCAAATAAGATTGCGTTCTTCAGCACATCCCTGCGAGCATCAGTGAGGAATATTTCATAACTTACAAGGCAAGACAAAAAAAAAAAAAACCAAGAGGATGAGTATAAACAACCCTGCCAAGCGCATGCAGACGAATCCCTGAAGACGGACGACACCGAGGTGAAGCCGTGTGTCAGCAGGACAGCCATTGTGCGCTTGTTTCTGTCTTGACTCTCGATTTCACGGACAGGCCAATCAGCTGAGCAACTTCCTGGCTCACAGATTACAGACTCCCGAGGACTCCACCGGACAGTTGGACAGCTTACACAATATTTATTCTCAGCTAAACGCTGCAGATGTACAACAGCGTTCCTCCGTGAAGGAATTTTTGGAAGAGATTTAGTCTAGGGCCAAAGGAAAATCGACAAAGTGAACACCGCAAACGTATATTTTTAATGAGTTTTGTTGCTTACTCAAGCGTAGTAGATGTTTTTGTTTATCAAATGGTCAGAAATATGCACAGATGTCTGTCAAAAAGCTATCGACGACTCCTTGCCTTTACCTATTGTGAGCCTGGTTTTAGAAATCTGAATTGGATCTACATTCCAAATTAAGTATGGCAATTAAAACGCCGCAGTAATCTGAATGGCCTTTGTGGGTGGAGGTAAAAGTCTGTGATGTAATCGTGTCATGTCTGACAATTTCAGGCATGTGGAACGGTTAAATTCCTGTTACTCGTATAAAAGCTGTGGAGCTTCCTTAACTAGCTAACTAATATTACTCAGCCAGCCTTGCTTTCCTGTTAGCCACTTCGTGCTGAATGGATAACACAATAGTTAGGCTCAAATCATCCTGATTGAATACTTGTCTTGAGCTGATTGAAAACAACTTCCTCTTTGTTTCAGTGTTCAAAATACTGATGGTTCTATCTGCGATCTCCTGGCAGGGGAAACCGATGGAATGAGTGGAAGAAACTCAGACTTGTGCTACCGGGCCGTCGGGACACAGCATCATATGTTATGTAATACAAGATGTGATACTGACGACAGCTTTTTTCTTTTTTTGAACTTAATATGAACGTTGAGACAGCTAACAAAGCGTCCATGTCAACTTGGGCAGAGGAGCATTTGAACTTCAGTTTTTCTTTATCACAGTCTGTGCAGCATAAATTAAAAGCTTGATTCTTGATTCCTCACCAAATCGTAACAAATTCAACTCCATCTCCACCAGAAAACATCCCTTCATTTCCATCATCCAAGGAGCAAAAAAACAGCATGAATCTATGCAAGTTTTGTGAAGCATGGATGAAAAAAAAAACAGCATTAAAAAAACCTAGAACACCCTTTTCTAGCTCCTTGAGTTGTTCCTTGAGGGTACTTTCTCCTTTTCAAAGAGATAAAACACATCTTGGTGACCCGCTGCTGAACCAAACACCGACCACGCTGTCTTTCCCCGAGGGCGATTTGTCACTGACCACACACACACACACACACACACACAAACAAACACACACTCAGGTGTACCAACACATTCACTAGAAGGTGTTTGAGCGACGACTGTGAGAGCTCTGTCTCTCCATGGACAGCTCACACACAACATAATGCACATACAACCACACACACAGCCCTACCTTGGCAGGCTGGGGTGTGGAGAAGTTAAGCCAGGCAGGGACAAAGTCATGCTGCGCCATTTAGGTCCAGTGTTTCCGGTCAGTGGATCGAGGCATCAAACCTCATGGCCAGGATCTAACAGAAGGAACGGACAGCAGGAAAGGCATTTTTATTTTTTTTTAATACTCAGATTCTGCAATTTAGAGGACAGCAACACGAATATCCGACACGGCGCCAAAATCCCTTTGATTCCCATCCATCTTTGATTTTGTGTCATGTCTTTCAAGTATTTTGTCTAGCGTCAGTAATTTAGAAATTCACTGTGTAATAGTGTCCCACAAGACAAGCCAAAAAGAGTCCTATTCTTAGCAGAAAACAACAAAGCTCGACTCGCTGCAGCTGTGCCTGTGAAGTTGATAACTGGTTGACAGCCCGTATGGAAAATATCTTGTGCAGCATAATACAAGTATTATTTTGGGGTATGCATCTGTGATAAATTTATACAGCTCATTGTGCTCGGTTTGGTTAAAAATGTCTAATTTGACTTAACTATTCCATGTATAAGACAGAGAATTAACTTACAAAAATGCTAAAAAAAATTAGCACGCTAATTTCACAGCACGTTTGTCAGCAAGGTGAAAGCTTCAACATTACCCCAGAGTCTGTGGCTCTGAAGTCCTCTGCCTCCTCTCTCGGTCCGGCTGGGCTCGGTTCCTCAGGCCTGTTGGCACTGATCACAGAGTGTGTGCACTGACAGACGGGGAGCAGCACACCGACAACCCCTTCTCCACCTCCGCCAGGACAGCGCAGCCCCTTTCCCCAGAGGCAGATCCCTTCGTCCAGGGTGAAACACTTGAGGATGGGTCAAACGGTTGCAGGAATGATCTGGAATGGCGATCCAGAGAACTGGCCAAGCAGGAAGCAGATTTTGAAGCCGAAGCACAGAGGTCTACGAAGGAGAGATTTTCCTTCTCAAAACCAGAATCCAGGCAGTTCTTGCGCTGGTCACGTCTCTGATGAATTCTACTGTTTCCAGTATGGGGAACTTTTTTCCAGGCAGATTGGATCCTTCAATATATTTGAACCATTTGCTCGTATTGACATGAGTGAGACTCAAAACCTGATTGGACTTAATGCTGATTGGCTAAAATGAATTGATCTGACAGGTGATTTGTCCCAACGGCGAGGAAGAGCCAGGTTGTCTTTCTGTTAATATTAGGAAACAGTCTGTGAAAGTCGTCTGCCCTGAAACATGGACAGCAGTTCGTGTAGCAGTTCCACTTTGACACCAGATGGGGGGGAGAGAGACAGGTGTTGTCCTGCCACACTGTGTGCCAGTATGCTTTTGCGTCGACTCACCTTTTACCGAATCATTTTAAGATCTGCCTAAACGCATGCAAAAAGAAAAATGAATTCAGAGACAGTCTTTTGTTGGCAATGGAGGTCACTGAAAACCACTGCTCACCTCATTAAACTGGTGAAAAGACTGTCTTGGTTTGAAGAAAAAATAATGCTCAAATGCTCAAAGTCACATGACAATGAAGGAAGTAAAGCCCTATGTTACATCGCCGTCATTTTCTGTTTTGGTTAGTGAAATAGAGATGCAACTGGATGATGCATTATAATGCTATTTCTGTCTTTATATGTTTTACTATCACATTTGTAAGATGCCCATTTAATTATCTGCAAGTTTCTGACTGAAGCAGATTCAGTAAGTAGCTCAGATTTCATAGATATGCAAGATAGAAAGTCAAAAGGTCTTTGTGACGGTCAGCTCACAACAACCTAACTTGTCCAAAAAAAAAAAAAAAGGAAAAAAAAATCCTCAAGAGAGCTCGATTAGCTTCTTTTTCTCAGGAGAAGAAAAAAATTAAATCAAGCTCGTGTCAGCATGCATCCAAAACGTTCTTTCCTTCTTGAATGCGTCGTTTCTCACACAGGAAGTTTTAGTGCAGTTTTCGGGTTTTCTTGCTGACGATTCACAGGCGTTTGCACGGAAAAAAGACTGGACCTGGAACAAATAAAAGCAATGTTAGCCTTCATTCACGAAAAAAACTCCCGCTTTGAAAATACAAGCAGTACTTAAACTCCCTTGCTAGTGAATTAAGCGGACCTTGCTTAACTAATATAGATAAAAATTCCTACTTTACCGACGATGTACTGTTCACTTTTGGGTGCAACTATACATTTAGTTTGGAGGCTGTATTTTGTGAAGGTGGTGAAACAGTTAGACTCCCCTTGTTGATAAAAATGTGGACTGTTCTTGCAATATGGCACCATAAAATTCAAAAGAACTGAAAGCCGCTTTTTCCAAAACAACCATAAAGCTGAATAAACACCTCTCTGTAAGTTATTTACTGCAGGGCGGTTGTATTAACACTTTTGCAACTGGGGTTAAATCGGGCTTCCAAAATAAAAGAATAAAGCAAAACCAACTTTCCCCCTTTGTATTTACACAGCTGTGTTGCTGCAAATAGCTAAGGCATAGAACAGCCATTATGAAATACACTCCTCCATCACTGAATACCCTTATCAGAGCCTCAAAATAGCTTCCAATTCAGGAGACAACCAACGCCTACAAAGAAACTGCTTTTGACACTTCAAACACATTTTCTGAAAGGTATGAGAGAAGAACCATGACTCGGTGATCTCAGGCCCATTTCATGCTGAACACTAGCTTCTTTTTTTTTTTTTTTTTAAATATGAAATTGCGGTGGCTTTTCTAAGTGAAATATTTATATCAGTGTAAAAATAACATGAACACTATCTTCTCCAGCACTTCTCCCCTGGACTGCTGCGCATCTCAACGGGCCCAGCAGTGGCAGGAATATTGAATGAAACGAAGGTTGCAATCCCAAACAACGATCCTTTCTTTCCTACACATTGCTCAGACACGTGTTATAATGCAGCTGGATACCAAAACAAAAATAAACCCATTTGTGCACAAACTCAGAGCTACCCGTGGGCTCGTTAATGCATTCCCACTGAACTATTACGTAACAGCTCAACATCAATGAGTTTGCCACGGACACGAGCAGCAGACATTTACTTCACCGTGAAACAAATACCCGCACGGATGATAGCAACGCAAATACTGCCGAGTCCGTGTGTGGCACTCTGTTTAACGTTACTACACAGTGAGGGGGAACCGCTGTGTCCACAAACACTGCAGCAGACCGATTCAACACAGCAACGTAACACGCACGTTTCAACGAGCTAACAAGCGCGATAACGTTATGGATTAAAGTGCATCAAAGTGATTTTAAAAGCAACGCGGCCGCCGACTAGTCAACACTAATCTCCAACTAATAACGCTGTCAGATCTGTCCTAACTCCGCCGCTAGCTAACTCTGCCCAGTTAACTATGGCTCACGTTAGCAACTGTTAGCTAATAGCTAGCGTTACCTAGCCTGTTAAGTAGCCTGAGATAACTACTTGGCGTGCGAAATAAAGTAGTGCGGTTAGCTGGCTTAGTTGAGTAAAAACGCATTTATTGCGCTAACGGTGCTTTAAAATGTCTATTTAAGCAGCTGTCACGGATATACAATAGAGGTAAACAGACCTGGCTTCGTTGGAACAACACAGTTTCAAAATGGCTACCTTAGCAGCGGCAGCACACATTCATCAGCCTGCTAAGTGCTAGCGAGCTAACTTGCACTGTTTCATGGCGATACCGCTACCTTGTGATGAGCAAGATAGTCGCAGATGGAGAATCCTTCAACTACACAGAAACTCTGCAAACTCTTAACAAAATTACACCTTCTCGCAACTATGAACCTCTTTAACAAAAGGGCTATCGATGTTTGTTTGGGTTTTCGGTGCGCTTACCACTGGCGGTGGCACTGAGGGATTCGAACAGCCTCAAATGTGCTGCGTTCAAGAGCTGTCGTGATTATGCAACTTAGCGAGGTTCCGAAGTGTTTCTAAATCCCAACTAGCTAAACGGTGGAGCTTAAGTTAAATACATTTTTATCTAAAACAAAGCAATATGGATATATCTGCAATTACAACGTGATATGTTTGAGTATTTTTTGAATTACTTTGAGAGAACGGTGCAGCTATAGAAGAATTTTGCCACCTTGAATACAACTTAATACCTGCCCGCCACCGACAGCCAAACCAGTCGATATCAGAACCTGTCTCGCTCAGCTCAAGAATATTAGGAGACAGGCGTTTAATCGAGTGCCGATAGAATGGCAGCACGCAAACGACCTTTAGTTTAGCTGTTTATCGTTCACTTTGCCACTATTAAGTGTATATTATTGTACGTGCGGGACCTGGGCAAACCGTTGAATGAGCAAAACTTAAAGGATAATGCTCAGGTAACGGCAACATCTGTGGCTTCTCGGTTGTTACAGTAGTTTAGCTTTGGATTGCATCAGGTTGAGCATGTGGCTAATAGAGGTTGAATGCTAGCTGCTTATATCATAGCTAAAACTCCAGAGTGCATGTGCTGTGATGTTGGTCTTTCTTTCATATTATTGACTGAAAACGTGACTTTTTCAGATTAAAAATGATCAGATTTGCATCTGGAAGATTGAAGATATTGTCTGGGGTAAGAAGAAGAGAAAAGTTCACTGAGGATAAATGCAGCTGAGTGGTGCCTCACTATGAATGCTTGTCCTGTGATTGTTGTGGTTTCAGGTTCCAGTATGGGGATGTCTTCGGCAAATACCCAGAGCACCAAACTACACCACAAAAGCTCAGCTGCTGTTTCATTCTCAAGCCTCCTCTGTGTTCATGGCATCCAGACTGACCTGCACCGACAGGTTGCTGAGCATCATCAGGCCTGTGAGCTGGCATGCCTCCCGTCTCTGTCATGGGGATTCACGAGGCACCTCAGACAGCAGCGACGGTAAAGGGGGCTTCAGCTTGAAGGCCCTCACCGAGGCTCCCAAACCGGCGCTGTACCTCGGTGTCTCTGGGCTCATCCCCTTCCTGTCCGCCCCCCTCCTGATGGCTGCCACACAGTCCTTCTACCCTGTAGTGGCGTACGCTCAGGTGGTATACGGAGCCTCTATCGTGTCCTTCCTCGGAGGGGCCCGCTGGGGGTTTGCCATCCCTGAAGGCAGTCCTGCTCGGCCAGACTGGATGAACTTGGGCAACAGCGTGGTGCCGTCACTTGTGGCCTGGCTGGCACTGCTCTGCAGGGACAATATCACTGAAGGTGCGCTTGTAGTCATCATGGGACTGGGTCTGTCGCTGCATTACGACCTGACCCTGCTGCCCGGCTACCCTGCCTGGTTCAAAGCCATGCGGACAATCCTCACTCTTGTCGCTACCTTCTCACTGGTGGCCACACTGGCACTTAAGAACTTCTGTACTGAGAAGAAAATCGAAGAGATTCAGAAGTGATTTAAGTTAGTACTACAAGCCACATGGACAAAATAGTGTGAACTCAAGTGAAGATCTGCAGACAGTTTATGCTGTACTACAGTTCACAGAACCAATGCTGGTACTTATATAATAAAAAAAAACCATAAAATCATATTTTAAAAATGTATATAGCAGCATTTTTCTTAGTTGCACAATGGGCATGGGGATTTTCCGTTCATGAGAGTCATAATTAAAATAAAACGTAGAAATAAACAGACTTTAAGGACAAGGGGACATTTGTAGAATCACATTCTTTGCTGTGATAAGGACAGGAAAAAAAGAACTTCTCTGAATGTGTGTTTAAACAATTTAAATATTGAAATTTTCCACGTGCAAATTTGATACCGTGGATGAACGATGTGATGGTTTGCATAGTTTTTATTGTTATCCAGCAGCAGACTGATACGAGTCAAAGCAGCAGCTGAAAAATGCTTCTACGTCGGTTTAAAAGTGTGTCGAGCTGCTGCTTCAGTCTGGTAAATATTAATGATAGAGTTCAGTGTTATTAGCGTCAACTGCTTTAAAATATCTTCAGTAAGCCGTCATGTACGGATGTTATATCTTCTTGTGTCACAAACTGTGAAGGCAAAATGTAGGAACAAGCAAAAAGAACCTGCATCTAAAATCCAATTGTTGAGATCGATCCAAACAATCCGAAATTAAAATGGGTTTTACTGGACAGTCAGAGTAAAACTATGAGCACTGAGTGTTGGCCACAGACCTGGAAGTCCACATTTTTTATGGTCTTGGAAGCGTGCCACATCAATACCGAACAACCTTGGTGCTTTGGAGTAGCAAACTTCAGCCAAACGAGCAAACCCAGAGCCTAATAGAAAGAGCATTAGAGGGTCGATGACAGCAGATGGACTGTACTGAGGATGACACTTTTTCATTTAATGAGGAGCTGCACATCCACCGAGATGTCCGCTGTAATATCACGGAAAATGATGCTTGTTTTCACGGCATAGAAAGTCTTTTCTCCTGCGAGCTCACAGTTTACTCAGTGTTTGTCGTGTGCTTTAAGTACAATCTCAGCAGAGGCTCCTTTATCCTGTGATTCATCATCCTTCTCACAGGCCTGACGACTGCTATTGTATCAGATCTGGCACAACGTACCATCAGTTAGTGCATCAGAGGAATAAAAAAAACAACTGAGTAGTAGTGATGTCATCCTACTGAGTGGTGTTTCCACAGAGCTACTGGAGGATTTATGAGATTTTACTTCACTGAAGACGGAGAAAATATCGGTTAATATCAAACCCGACACACACGTAAACACTCAAGTGAAGTTTATTAAGTCTAAAAAGCAACCAGGAAAAGATGGTGCTGTTGTGTAACATCATTTTGTTTGCAAAGAGATACCCGCACGACTTAGAAAACACTGATAACGTGAAAATGTCACGTGTTTCTTCATCATAATCATCAGCCGAAGAGGAAACAAGGTACTTTCCTGTAAAGATGGTAAACACACTCAACCTAATCATTTAAAGAAGTCAAAAAAAAAAAAAAGTTGAAATGTAAATTGTCACCACTTTAGGTGCCACTAATGAGTGAAATGATAGATTGGTCTGTACTTGTTTGAATGTGAGAGTAAATAGTGATAAAGAGGCACTGGTATTTACACTGATATATGTACAAAAATCATCCAGTGGACACACACTGATCACTGTACTGCTCTATTAACGGTAGCACGTTGTTCAAGTTTACACAAATCACCAACCGTGAAACTTACAAAAAACGTAAGTTTCATTTGGTTCCGTTGTCAACCAGGCTCAAGTGGTTTGATAAAGTAGTAACGCAAATGTCTCAAACATTTCACAAGTAAAAGAAACTAAAAACAAACAGCGACTTCACATCATAGCTAAGAACATCATTCTCAGTCCACACAGGATTCTGACACTTATCAAAAAAAACCCCCAAAACTCTCAGTTCATCAAAAATAGAAGTCCTCCATTGTGAAAAAAGATCCTCATCGTCAGGATAGGCTCGTCTTCAGATATAAATAAGTCACTCAGTGTAAGCAGAGGCCTGTTTGGCAGTTTCCAGTACTGTCGCATCCACATATAAATAACATATAATAATGTAAAAGCCTATTTGTAATTGAAACACACTTTTCTGTGTTTCTTAAGGTGCAGCTTTTCTTTAGTCTAAGTAGTTCTGGGATGATTCAGGTGCTGATGCTGAGGTTCACAGTTTGCGTGTCAGAGCACGGCCAGGCCGCCGTCGCAGCGGCTGGTGATCATGTTGCCGACCTCGGTCCAGGTGTCCAGGTGAGGGTCGTAGATCTCCACTGAATCCACCGTCACGGGGGCGGAGAAATCCCTGCTGGCGGCTCGTCCTCCGACGGCGTAGAGCAGCCCGTTAACCGCTGACACTGACACGCCTGCACGTGCGGTGGACATCGGGGCCACCTCCACCCATTTCTCCTGTGGGGAGGACGTTACAGGTTAGACGCTATTTCAAGAAGACATTAAGTCACACCACTGTAAAATATTACTCTCTTGTCTTTAAAGACACTCTACCTCTTCAGGACAGTACTTCTCCACCGTCTCCAAAGCACCAAGCGCCTCATTCCAGCCGCCCACAGCGTAAATGCAGTTATTCAGGCAGGCGACGCCCACGTAAGCCCGACGTGTGACCATGACAGGCAGAGCACTCCATCGCCGGGAGATGGGGTCGTATACCTCTGCTGAGCGTAGCTCCATTCCTTCATCGCTGATCCCTCCAATCACATAAATAAATCCTGCATGGAGACAACTGCATTTAGGCTTCACTGAGTGTTTATGTGTTGATGCACCAGAAGAAATGCAGATAATATCATCTGCAGATATATTTATTTGCTGTATTCTCTCTGCGACATGAGGAGTTCTTACAAGTTGATTGTATACAATAAAAAAAGAAGTGAGGAGCACACCTTGTAGCTCACAGCAGCCAAAATAATAGCGAGGAACCGCCATGCTGCCAATGACCTCCCACTTGTTCTCCTCTGGGTCATATCGTTCCATGGTCTTCCCAATCTCAGAGCCGATCCAACCACCTACAGGAGCAGCAGGCAACAATCAGACTACAGTTTTTCTCTCAAGTATTCCTAAGACGCTGGGCATGAATTATTGATTTAATTGCACTCACTCAGATAAAGTCGTATTACAGAGCATTACATAACCTCTCCAGTGACAACCCCAGCATGCCTGAGTCAGTAAAATTGCAGCTTTCAAAGTTTTCTGTTGTCATTCTTATAATTTTTTAAAGAAAACATGCAGACTTTCTTGTATCACTGCATTTAAAACTGCTTATTTTAACATAACAGTAGCCATGGCCTTTACCAAGTGCGTACAAAGCGCCGTGACAGGGGCAGACGCCAACTCCACAGCGAGGGAAATTGAGAGACGCCACGGCGGCCCACTGCTTTGTAACTGGGTCATATCTCTCTGTGCAGTCAAAAATCATCGAGTCTTTCTCCCCTAGTGAAAAAAAACAAAACATCGTTCCTTGTCAGACTGTTAGTCGCTGAAGTTATTCTGTTAAGTTAAACTCAAAACCGAGCAGCTTTCTCACCTCCCACTACGTAAATCATGCCCTCCAGGACTGCGACTCCCAGCCCGCTGCGGGCCTGATGCAGGGACGACACGGTGGTCCAGTACTGGTTGAAGGTGTCAAAGCGCTCCACGCAGCTTAACGCCCGGCTGTCGCTCCAGCGGCCGCCCTGCAGTCGAGTGTAGCCACCTGACACGAGGGAGCAACAACAAGTCTGTCATCAGTTTCATGAACTAGAGTTTCACTTGTTAGATTTGGAATAAACAACATATTTTGCATCTCTGACATAATCTATTATAACACTTCTGGTACTGTCTTCACTTATGTGTTTCAATCTCCGATATGTGATACAGAACCTATGGCGTAAAGGTATTTTCTGGCTTTTCTTCTGGGTCTCATCTTGGCTGGTTGGAGCTGGCTGTACATCTTATTTTCTTTGGGAGATTTTGTGACTTCAGTGTATTCCTTCAGCAGAGTCTGCAGTGCCACCCGCAGGCTGAAGTCAGTAATACCTGTGTTGACAAAAAAATTGTTCACTGTTGGCGTTCGTTCTTCACAGTGTGCAACAATTTAAAACAATATATTGAGTATATATCATAAAAAGTGTAAAATGTAAAAAGGAGAACACTTTTTTCTTCTATTTTCCTCACCCTCGATGTATTTAAATAGCCTCTGTGGAGAAAGCAGAGGGAAGCGGACTGGTTCCAACACCTCCACCACATGTTTTTTCCTCTTTGCCACATCTTGGAGAACCCAGTCCATGGCTGCAGTAAACACCTGGTACTCATCCTCAATCCTCAGCTCCTCGCTTCTTAAAAGTCTCACCAGCTGATCCTTCGACAGGCCCCTGAACTCATCGGTGACACACACCTAAAAGGAACCAGTTCATAGGACAGTCTGTAACTGGAAAACTACAAAATGAGTTTAAGTGCTCCTGAGCAACATAAATGATACAAATAGAACACTGACAAGGAAGTATATACAGCTTTAAATACTCAGGGAAACAGGGGATTTTAAAAGCACAACTAGAGTCTTGGCAAACACATACAATGTGAAATATGAGCTTTGTGGAGGGAACGCACCTCCAGGAAGTGAACATGGATATAATTCTCAGTAAATTCCAGCATTTCCATGCAGGCAATCTGCTCCAAGAACTGAAAGATGCCCACACAGTTGGATGGGTCCATGTGGCCCTTAAGAAACTCCCCGCAGATGGACACCACCTCGTTCAGCTGCAGCATGTCTGCTGCCACCATCAGCTCCTGAACATTCTCCACAGTGACGCTGATCACTCCTGATTGGAAAGAGCACACAAAATGCTACAAAGGCACACTAATTACAAGGAATATGATGATGGGAATAATCAAGAATGATTCAGACCTGTGTATATGAAGTCCAGCAAAACCTCAAACACTTCTGTGTCCACGCCGAGGATCTGCACCTCGTCTTTATCCGCCTCCCTCATCCCACCAGAGAACAAGGCAGAGAAGTAGGGGCTGCTGGCAGCGAGCACTAACCGGTGGACCCTGAAGACCTGACCGCCGACCTTAAGCCCCACATCACAGAAGTCGGTGCGAAGTCGCATCTTGTTCATCTGGGCCAGGATGAGTCTGGCGTAGCGGTCTGATGCCAGCAGAGCCTGCTCAGACGCCTGGGTTGCCATGGCAGCTGCAGCATCACCACCACCACTACCAGTGG